ATGGATATAAATAAAGTCTCACTTTGTTTCACTACTGCCATGTTGCATAATATAAAAAACACTGTCCCTCATTTTCAAATTAGGAAGCTGCAGAGCAAAGAGGTGGACAACATTGCTTCAAATGTGCAAGGACAAGATTTGAATATGGGAATTTGTATCCCAAGGTTACTGTCTTCCCATAATGCATATACTTTACATGGGGAAAAGACTATAGACAAGCTTCTGTCATGAAGGTACCGCTGGGCTGGGGAGATAACTTGGTGGTCTAAGCCCCTGCCTGGCAAGTGCAAGAACCTGGGTTTGATACCTGGTACCACATGTCACACAGGCTCTGGAAACCTGGTGTGGTGGTGCATTACTGTAATCTCAGCCCTGGGGAGGCTGAGACAGGAGGATCACTATGAGTATGAGCTGCATAGCAATACCCTGCACCAAACAGATAAATGATTTCTCAAAAAAAAATTAAAAAAAAAGAAGGTACCACCATACACTGGTCTGGTGGGGTTCTCCAGTGGGTCTAATTCAGGCATTTTTGCATCTCCAGGGGGACATTTGGAAAAATCTGGAGACATTTATAGTTAGCAAAAATGGAAGGCAAACACTACTGACATCTGATAAGCAAAGACCAGAGATCATGTTAAACATCTGCCATTAATGGAATGAGAGAGAAAACAAAGTACTATCCAACCTCAAATCTCAGTGGTTTTGAGGCTGAGAATCTCTGGTCAATGCCGAAAGTCTCAGAAGGGCTGACAAACTGAAGCTCAAATTGTCTGTGAGAGACTGTGAACATGATGGGGTTGTTTATCTGGGTACAGAGTCCTGGGAGGCCAATTCTGATTTAAGTTTCTAAGTGTGTTCTGAAAGAGAATCTCATCTCTTTTAGCAGCAGGGCAGAGAACCAAAGTAGGCCCTCATAATTCACTTGGCTGAAATGTAGTTTAAGTTTAATGCTCCACTTCAAAAGGTATATGAAGTAAACGTGAGGATCTTGATTGGGAAGGAATGAGATCATGTAAACTGGGATAGAGCTGTTTGGGAAGATCCCAATGGGGCTGAGAATGTTGAGTTCCTAGATGCTAAGCAGGTTATTTTGCCAGAGAAAGAGATGTCCCCACCCACAGTGGCAGAAGCTTCTCCTG